TTCATAAAGGGCTGTGTAGAGCTACCGTGCCTTTTGATATACCATAGTGGGCGGAGCAGGAAGCCAAGGGATCGATGCAGAGTTGCACGATCGTCCACCAAGTCACAACAATTGGAACACAGGATACCGCGAAAAGAACCAATATTCCCAGCTTTTAATTTACGGTAGTAAAAAAACGGTCACTGGCAACGGGTGCTGGTCCTTAAGGTCCTTTTTTGTGGACACAGACATCATCGGCCTCATGTAAAAGGCACGGTGCTTGAAGAATACCAAATTCTTTCCACAGTACGGTCCCACTGATAGGTCAACTTGGGCATTTGCGGTTCTACATCTCTTCGCCTAGCTGAACTGCTGTAGCAATATGCCCAACAAATGCGGTGCGGAGTCGGGTTTATCCGTCTGAATCGTGGGGCTTTAAAACTTCAGTGATTGAGTTTCTTAGTAATGCCCCCAGCTGGGCTCGGATATGTACGCATATTGGTTCACAACCGTATTGGAGGTTAAGGTGCCACGGTCAGGCGTGCACTGTGCTGAAAGTTGATTTTCTAAGCCTCAAGTTGCCAGGTGACTGTTTTTCATGAGCACTCTCTCCCTAATAAATTAGGACGAGACGTAGCTAGCGCACTCAAACTCCATCGAGTCCGTCTAGGATCGGCTTTCGCGCTTGAAAATGTGGGCGATTGCATTGCTTTACTGTACTTCGTCTCAGGCGCGACGTGGTTTAAAGTGACGAATCGCAGCTGGGTAGAAATTGGAATGAACTGCTGCAGTATTTACTGGGGGTAGTACGGTGTGCTTTCAACCTATATGACGTGATTAGATAGCAAAAGTCCCTCAGTGAAGTAGAGAATTAAAGTAAAATGCTAGGTACGAGATTCAGCCCCATGAGAGCACCCATTCACCAGCCTGCGATTCGCAATGCTTAGTGGTCGGTATTCATTCTTGGCATACGGAATATAGAAACGAACATCTTCCGGAATTCTCATGTACTCGTATTTTATTCAGGATCCCTGATGTATATACACTGCTTATAGTTCCCAACGAGGATTAAAAAGCTCCACAATGCCTCTCGGTTCTTCAGCAAGCGTTTGAGGAATTATCGTGAGTATACCCCCGGAAACTTGCAGACTATTATGCTTAGGTATCGTCTTTTTTTGACAAGACAGTTCAACTCCAGATGGAACGAGATAAAGCGTCACTCATGCTCAGGGGCACACTTAGCTCTTTGATGTTTTTGTGAAAAAGTATGGCTGTGTTGTGCATCCACCAAAATTTTTACGCCAGGACAGGAGGAAGACTGTTCAAACGCGAGTGAGGTGGATGCAATTTCCACAAATCACCACCATCTAGAGTGCATCTACGATTATAAACGACCTTGTTCTCATTGCGGTCCTCTGTAGTTACCGCAACTGAGAATATCTTGGTCAAGTACAGCACCATTTTCAAAATCATGTTTCGAGAATTATTTGGCCTTATTAGGAAACTAAGGTTTAAACTATCACTTCAGGATAAATTCCGAACGCTCCAATTTGATTGGTGGTTGAGGTTGATGAATTCACATCACGTGCTCTATTAGTGACTATTAGTGGAACCAGCTCCAAACGAAACGGGACTACAAAACAGCCAATGGAATAGCCTTTTTCGTTGAGACAGATTTCATTGGTTGTTCTTCACTTGCCCTTGACATATGAGTTGTATTCTTAGTATCACTTTTTGACCCGCTGGTATGCGACATTGATCATTAGAGCAGCTGGCTCGCACGTTCGTTGACTTTTCTGGTTTGGCCAAGTGCACCAAGTGAGCAAGCGGCTACCCACACCGGGGTTCATGACATTAGGAAGGAATCAAGGGACTGTAGTCCACAACAGTGACCTAGATGTGGCATCGAATTCACAGTGTTGTTGACTGCTGAGGCAATTGGAATCCGCCAGCGTAGCCCACAGTTGAGTTTATAAGAGTTTATTAGTACGACCCAAGACGGCGTATCCGTCCCTCCATGCCATTTCGGAATGTGCTACGGACCACACGTGTCTGCAGCAATAGAGACCAAACTTTGTTCGACACGCTCCATTCTGACAGACAGGTTTTCAAGCCAACTGCAACTAGCAGTCATGACCTGGTCGGTAGCAACGTGAGTGTTTTGCTTGCCAGTTTGCCCAGTTGTGGGCGTCGCCTCATCTGACTGGCTTAATGTTTACAACATTCCACATGGGGAAGGAAAAGTCAATGACAGACTACTTTCTGCTTATAAGTAGCAAATACCGCATGACTAATTACAGTGCAGTAGAACCTATAAAGCTTTGGGAACGGCTCCAGATATCCTGTCCCATGTAGTACTCACGTTACTTTAGCATCTGACTCGAGTTAAAACCGATTCTGCTATTTTCTCCAAGCGGCATGTTATTTGCTTTTGTGGTTCGGGTGTAAGAACCTCAGGATGAAAACACAAGGCAGCCTTAGACACAGACGACTATCAGAAATCTACACGTCACTTTCAATACTGAGGATCCAAAAAGGTGCTCTTGCGTACGAGCTTACGAAACAGCCGAACCCAAGCAAAACGCACATCACATGAGCCGCAGTTCAAAGTCTGACTGTGAATGTTTTCCAGTACCCAAGAAAAACAATAGTCAAAATCTTTACAGGTAGTCAAAAGTGGATGATGTGAACGGATTTTGTCAATTTGTTCCGATTTAGCAGAGTTGGTCAGAGTTCGAGAGAAATTGAACTATGTCCCGTATCACCTGTTCATCTGGACTACTGTTACATCATACCCCCGGATACAAAGTCCAGTCGTTTTTCTACAGATACGACTTGACTGTATCTACCCAACCTGGGACCTCAACATTCGGTGGTCCCAAAGGAGACCAGCATCGGAACGAACTCTTCAAAGGCACAAACCCCACATTAAATGGAGCTAGAATAGCATACGCTAGTTTTGAAGGTCGTCAGTAAACGGACAACCGTCTCGTATAAATTTCAGCCCGAATGCGTTTAGAAGGCGAAACATGATGGATGGCGGTTGCGTCAATGTCTGATTCGGTCATTTTATATCCGGAATCGGCCGACAAAAGCGTAGCAGGTGAGCTACTATTCACCCCTCACCCTTATGACGCAAACAATTTGTGTGTTGGGCGTATGCGGAAGAACAAATGTCAGTTCCGTCACCAACAGATACAAATTATGTTTGTCCTCTACAGTAGGTCTGCAGACTTGATGGCGCAAGAAATAGCATTACACACCTTAAGGTAGCATTTTTCTGTCTGCCTACAATTGGGGGAGGTGTTGGGTTGGCTGGGCACCGAAGGCATATCCAGAGTCACAAGTGCACGCCTCTGGTGCGTGAAGTACCCCCATGTACCGCGCATTTTCAGTTGAATTTAGGAGACAACTTTTCGCGTGATAATTTCGATAAAATAATCTCCTCTGATGACTGATAAATTTATGGATAACCTACAGATTTGAAGGGCCAGCACGTGGGAGGCAAGGGTCATTTGTGACCAAAGCAATGTCAGTGATTTCATGCATCATTTTGAGGACGAAATGACGGTTGAAGTAGCCTGACTACATCTGCTTGTGTTGTTGTCTACAACCATACGAAGCTGTTTATCTGTCTAGTTCAGTGGTCTCCGTAGACGGAGATAATAACAGCCAACGGAGCCAGGTTTCCAGGTTTTTTTCCTTTCCGACGCTACCATACAATATGACCATAAATGCCTGGTCTTCTCCGGATATCCTTATTGTGTTACAGACTAAAGAATACCGAAACGTTTCATTTCTGAGTCGACGGACATAATCTTCTATGGTGTGCAGAGCACCAGTTCAAAGAATGATGATGTTGGTGTTGTTGTTACAACACTGTTCGGTTCGATCAACCCCGACCTTGTCGGAAAGAAGGCAGATGAATTACTTCAAAACGACCCATTTGAAGACGTCCAAGCGAATCGAAGAGGAACACGGACTATTGTTTCCGGGTGAAAGTTGGGTGTTCCGGAAGATGAGTCAACTAACCAACTACCACCGTAATTCTCCGAAAAACAACACAAAAATCTGCATTCGCACCCCCTCCAGGGGGTTGCAGCCTCCCGGGATGGAAAAATGGATGAAAGGGCGAAAGAAAACGATTTATTTCCAGTGTTTTGCAACCGACGTGCAACCATAGAATTTCATCTGGTGACTTTTGACTAAGAAGCCAACTCAACAACAGCAACATCACCAGGAACGTTAAACAAAGGGCCGGTGGCTCCACCCTGTTCTCCTTTCAAAACTAGTACTGATAACACAGACCGAAAACTAAGGTTGTCGGAAGCGAGAGGAACAATCGATCTGTCATGTCAGCTACAACCAATTTACGTATTCCATGTTGGAGAGACTTGAATAAACCTATGTACGTGAGGGAAAGTACATGACGTCGGTGGTCGATGTAAGCAGAACGGCAAAGGCCATAAACTACATGATAAAATCGATAAACTGGTATATCGAACCGGACCTAATCTAAGCAGCGTTCGTGCAAAGGACAAACAACCACAACTTCCAATTGGAGCAGACAACTGTACCGAAGAAAAGATAGATTGGAGTCTATCAAGTGTCACGTCAGCGCGGGACATGCTTGCGTCAACTTGGGTGTAAACGACAAAGGAAAAGAGTCAAACAGGACAAGATAAAGTATATTCGGGTGTCGACCAATGAGAACACTGATCAACGAGGAAATGGTTTAGCCTGTTAACTAACCAAGAATGAAGCCCTTTTCGATATAAATGAATGCACTGCACAGACGCCCTGTCTCGCTATAATGCACTAAAAGCATGTTGATCATGTCACGTCGAGGAATGATGAAAGCAGTGGTCCCGTTCCGTCGTCTTGTGAGTTCCGTTGACTTCATCCATCTTATAAGTTCCTATATCAAGCTGAATCATCTCGAGACACCGTCATTCTTACCACTTTAATCAGTTTTTATTCGATAACTTAAAGACAGTTCAAGACAAATATCTATGTATATGTACAAATGTATGCAAAATGCCCAATCTAAAAACACCTTGGGCCAATAAGGTAAAAGTCAGTCTGCCCTGCACCGGTGGGCCAGAAATGCAGGTTTGGTGGAGAACGTGAACCGACAAAGTTAGCCCATCTGTAACGAGGATAAGTATATCAAAGATGGATTCTTCATGGAACTATCGAAGACGAAGTAGGTGCCTGGTCTCATCATCTTCCATGGAACGTTCCATCAAAGGAGACATGGTCACTGGGGGTGCGAAGGTGTTGCCAGGTGCGACTTTGTCCACGGGAGACCACGCTCGCCGTGGTGTGACCGGCGGATGAAGATTGTGCTTGTAAGGGCTCCTTGTCGTACTTCCGCTTGAACGACTGAGAGGAACTGGGTTGCTTGGAAGGTAGATGTGCCTGGAGGGGCCGAGCTGTGATGTAGACGGCATGTCAGTAATCTGGCAGCGTGCTGCATCCGAGATATCAACTGAAACAAGGTAGGAGAACCGGGTGAAATTTTGGTTACTAATAATAGTAGTAACGCCAAAGAGGGGGACTTTCCATTTGGCCGTGCATGCATCCATGTAGAATGCTGCAAACTAAAAACAGTCTGATGGTTATGTGCACAAGAGACACTGAAATCGCAGACCAGCGGGCATATAATGCGGCACTTCATTTAAGCCACCGAACTCTACCGAGACTGTAGTCAAGTCAGAGTGTGGAAATCACCTCGGAAATGGTCAAACTAGCGTTTCTCGCCAGCTCATCTGGGCTGCGTAAGATTATGTAGTCTGACTTGACAAGTAGAAAGAATTTCCGTAAGGCACACAAGTTTTAAGACTGTATTCAAGTCAGAGTGTGGAAATCACCTCGGAGATGGCCAAACTACTAGCAAGCTTTGCTCGCTAGCCCATCTGGGCTGCGTAAGATTATATCGTCTGACTTGACAAGTGGAAAGAATTTCCGTAAGGCACACAAGTTTTTAACTGTTTACGTAATTTCTCTCCTCAAGTCCACTTCCACTAATCTGGCAAAGTATTTGAGTAGTTACCTGCCGTTTTGGACAAAATTCGGCGACAGCCCGTTTACCTTCCTGATATCTACGAACCCCTGTATGGATCTCCTGGAAGCAGTTCTCTAGAAACTCCCCACCCCATTGTTCCACAATGAATTAAAACGTTTCCTTCTTGAATACCTCTTTCATTTTCCATATAAAAATCTGTTTTGCTCAAATCCCAAAATATAGAGACATCTTTTATGAGTGAATTCTTAACCCCACTTCCTCCACCAGGTGACCTCATAAAAGGTCATTTTAAAAATGTGCTTCTTTGAATTACGGATTAATGTTCAAAATAAACCATTAGTTATTGGCAAGTGTTTACCGGACTTGCAGATTTCAGAGTTAAGTAATTATTCTGAGGATACTACATCAAATGTACTCGAGCTCCGCACCTATTAGAGCTCATCAGCTCTGTATATACTTGGACACGCCGGGTTTGAACTCCAGACGTTTGACATGCGAGTCGACCTTGTTATCACTACGTCAACAACGCACGCATGACGCATCTGAATTCTCACCCCTGAAGTGGTGGACTTGTTCCAAGTTGAGTGACGTGATTGGTTTGCCCGAACCGTCGAAAGACGATCCAGTAACTGCCTAGTTTTCCGACCCACTGACACGTCTGTCAGGACTTCCCTGTTAGGCAGCTCCACGGACACTTGAAACCCACTGGACGGCTGTCTGCGCACTAGTTAGTGCATGTATTTGATTCACGAACATTGAGAGAAAGCCTCTACCGTGAGAGGAATGAGAACCCAATTCGATTCAGAAGAGTGTAAACAGAAATTCGCTAAGAGCCAACAGTTGTCGCATTGGTGATATGAACAGTCATCATTTATTTTGAGTAAACAACCAAGACCTGCTCCGTTCTGTGGATGGAAAATCTCTCTCAACCGTTGCAACAAACTAAACCGGCTATCTTTCCCAAATTTTGACGTCCAACAGGCTTGAATAACTTTCCCTGTTTAGACGCCATAGGTCACACGCCTTCAGAGTGAGCAGGCTTCAAGCAGTGACGCGACCCAAAACAAACTCTTTTGGGGAGCTCCAACAAAGATAAATTCAAGTTTAGTGCGTCCTCAACCTGGTGTGGAGTAACCGCATCAGGATGGGAAAAGAATTGTTTAAACCGACTTACAGCCATCACGATAGTCTTCAATAACTCATTGAAAGGCCAAACTAAATAGAGCCTAAACCAAGGCTATCCACAAATTTTCCTCTAGTACATGGCATCATATCGAGGACTGATCTAAGGTGATCATACGCTGGGATCTGCTCTTCTGTGGATGAATGCCATCAGAAATCACCCAGGGCACATTTAATGTGCTCTAGAAGGACGACCCGCACATGCAGTCCTGATGACTACACGTTCATTTTGTCAGCGAACACCACCAAAAAGGGTCAAGATTAATCTTCCATCTTCGAGATGGTGCGCGCATACGTGAATTCCACCCCACAAAAGCTGTCTTGCGGATATCTCATGATTCAACAGGACGCAAATTACTCTCCAAATTACTTCCACTCTTTTCAACACACGAAGAGGAATACAATGACAATAGGGTGCCGGCCAGCTTGTCCCCTCCATGACGATGACTTACGTTGTCGGCAGTAACCGTAGAATGATAGCTAAACGACTACGGTTTTTTGACGCAAGTGTAACAGTGTATACTACTGACGAAGCATTCGAGTAGTGTCTGGCCTGGTGTTCAACTTCCACCCCCCATGTCTGTTGGAAGGCGAACTTTACTACGGAAATTATGAAACCGCTTCACAGTGTTCGCTCATTATTTTATTATACTAAAAGAGCGTCCAGGAAAGTTTCAGAGGACACTTGAGAATACTCATTTTTCAAAAAAAAACTCTGTACCTATGAGGAAATGACTTTCGTCTTTTATGGCTTGCAACCGCTTAGTTCGCGTGCGGAAAAATTCGTAGCGAAGGGCTCTTCTTCGAAAGTGGTCAGCCAATCGGATTAAGCCCCACATTCTCCCGAGGATTAGAGTAAGAGAGCTTCGTCCATTATTCAGCAACCAGTTGCTCCAAGATTGAGCAACTACTTGCTACGGACCAGTAGTGTTGATTCAGGCGCGCACACTGGAATCTCACGTCAGTGATTTGGTCTTACCGGCTCGATACGATCTTCCGGAATTTCAGTAAGATTCACATTCATAAATAGGCAGTACTATAAAAACCAACTTACGTTCGCTGTCGATGTGGCGAATGCTCGCCATGGGATCTGCAGCGGCGACCTCCGACCAACGTGATGTTACTAGTTCGATCGCGTAAGTCGAACTGGCCGAAGAGTCTACAACAAAAAACTTGGAATACATAGTTGGCCCGGAAAAAAACCTCGTGGAAGTTGCATAGGAACAACCTAACCCGCGAATGCTTCGCTGTATGCCGGTGACCGGTCGACTCATGCTGTCCGTTCACACATTCCAACTAAAGAGTCTGTTGGATTTTTAAAGCAAATGATGTCAGAGATTTCCCTCAAGACAAAAAAACAAAAACCAATGGGTTTTCAAATGGATATTGTTTGTGTGTTTGTTCATTTGTTGACAATTTTGATGGAGTTGTCCCTCAGACTAAATTGGCCGTGACCGCGACCCTCAAAACAGTTTCCGCATTGAAGTCAAACAAGAAATTGCTGCTACCAAAGTTGAGAAAACCGCAAGAAGTGCGAGTGACAATGACCAGCAAAACTCATCTGTCCTTAAATTTAGAAACAATACTCGTAGCTAGGTAAGTAAATGAGTTGAATGTCTGTTTCCTAAGCAGTGATCTCCTAATTTTGACTGGACACACCCATTTATTGTGGAACATAGTCCCACATTTGTACAGTCAACTAACTGCCTCGCGTACAGTTCATGACGTAGCAAAGCTTCCTGAAGTTGACAGAAAGAACTCCGTCACATTTTGATTGATAGCCAGCTAGAACAGAAGTTAGCTGCGCTGGTTTATGGTTTGTTTACTGGTAATCGTACAAAGACCGGATGCTAGCGCTATCCAGTTACAAGCTACAGGAAAATTCGGACAGCACAGAGGTCCTCAGGCTTAGGATGTTAGGCACCTCATTGGTACGTTCTGACTCTACCGTGCCAAGGCCCCCGCTACCTGCAACACACTGTCGACCAGCGATTCTCCACTGTATGGTTTGGATAGGTTGTGCGATCGGCAAACTGGAAGCGGTTGTCGAACCATCCTGATAAAGAAGGTCGGCACTGTACTGGCCCACTGCGAGTCAGTCTTCCGTGAGCTTGGATATCCGATATACTGGACATGCATGACCCTGGATTTGACTCAGAACAAACTGTTGCTTACTTGCAACCAAGTATATTAATAAGCAGTGTAATCTGCTGGTTCTCAACTACCTGCAAATTGTTCATAGCCACACCACTCTCATTTGAACAGCCGTCCCCCTGTTCTGGCGTAATTATTCCGGTGGGTGCACACCAAAGGGAAGCACTAGACTCGAGCTTCAAGCTCATCAGCAGTGCATATCCAATGGCCGTGCTGGGATTTGAACCCCGGACATCTGACATGCGAGGCGAGCGTGCAACCACTACTCCACCAACGCACGTTGGACGCATCCGAATTTTCACGTCTGAACAGGCGAACGTTTTCACGCTTGAGCGATGTGATAGGTGTGCCCGACTCATCGAATGGCGAACCAGTAACTGTCCTGGTTGGGACGATCGATTGCCCCGCCAGTCAGGACTTCCCAGTCAGTCAACGTGCTTTGCATACTTTCGTCCCCCATTCTCGCAATTTCGGGGTTTTGTGGGATAGGTATTTTTGTTCATAGCAAATTCAAGTTGAAAAGTAGGCGGCAGTTGGGTCGTTTCTGAAGGAAATGATGTGCTACAGAAAACGGTTATACCTCGAACGACTCAGTGTATGGTTCCGTAAAGGTTATGTGACGTGAAGTCAAACATTTCCACTCGTGTCGTTAAGATGGCTCTCCGATCTGAACGATGCACAACGTTCGCCATTTGATCCGCAAACCAACCTGTCCGTAGTGGTTAGCCTTGGATCGGGGTTTCTCTTGTCCTAGTTTTACCTAGTTTTACCCAGACTACTAAAATGCTCTCATGTTCGGAGGTACGGCATTTAGAAAGCCCACTTCCTTCCTTGTGAAGATCCCTCACTGCAGAGATAACCATAGTGCTAGAATTAACGCAAATTTTGGTTTCTCGAACAGGGGATGTAAACATGATTTGTACGCCGAATGTAAGAGTTTGACTCACTATGAATCCCAAATCAATGTAAGTATGCGTAAAAGATGTTTCCATCAAACACAACCATCAATAAATCAATCAATCAATCAACCAACCAATCAATCAATCCATCAGTCAGTCAATCAATCAATCAAACAACCAACAAATCAATCATCCATCTTTCTATCCATCTATCTATCGCTGTAGGTCTTCAGCATTACGTGAAACACGTTCTCTGATACCAGTTGGGAAGAATATCCTAGCTGTCATTTTCACGTTCTTTTGTGGGGGTTAGGTTGCACGAGACGAGTCTATCCACGGGTGTATTTTCCCATTGCCCTGCTCAGACAGATTGGCGGGGACCCATCGTCCTATGCTCATGCACAAAATCGTCGTTCAGCTGTAGCACCCTTCCGGTACCTAACTACCATGCTACTCGAAGGTTGCACGAGGGCTGGGATACTACCAAGTTGCCCAACCCTAGACACGAGAAGTCGAAAGGCAGAGGTCGGGTTTGAACCACGGACCTACCGGTCAGTAAATTCGCGCTCTAACCACTTGGGACGTCTCGCCCTACAGGTTGGTTAATGCCGGGAGCCCTGTCATACGGACCCGTGCGCTGTAGATCTCTTAAAGTAGATGAATGCACTACCGATTCCCTCCATGAAGAGACCTGACGGTAGACGTGGTTGACTTCGTTTCGGATAAAATTTATAAATACTGTTTGAGCTCCGGCCCCGTTCATCAGCTCCAGTTCTTCCAATTTCATTCGACACAAGATATTCCACCTAATAACCCGTAAGGAACCAGCAAGCCTCTATGAAGATTGGAACTCCTCTGGTCGAGGCCGACAATTCTATTCGTTGCGCTTGGAGCATAATCGTAAATTAAACAGTGGATACCACACTGACCCACTTACTTGCTCTGGTTCGCTTCAAAATGGGAGACCATTTAGATTTTTCTGAGCTGAAAATTCCATTCGGATATTGTCCAGTCTCAAGTCTGCGAAAAAACAAGAACAAAAGACAATTCGGTTGGAAGGAGAAAGGGAATTTAGACAGCGATTATGAAGTTAGCCAAAAGGTGAGCAGTTTAGAGGCACCGTTTCTAAACCGAGGGGAAAAGGTTTTACTCAGACAAGATTTCGTATGTAACCAAGAGTTTTTCTTATTCCTGCAGTTTCAAACGGAACATCCAGATCTCCGAAATACCTACAAAACATGGGTGATTTTTCAAGAAGCGACCACAAGCTTCTTGGGCCTTCTATCTAACAAACCATCGTTTCAGATGACAGCCAACACTGGGTCAAGTGACATGGATCACGTGATTGAAAGCTGAAGGATTGGATGTCCCGTTTAAATGTAACTTAGTCGTACTGCTAAGCAGCCATGCACGGTTGAATAGTATACGGCCGAACTACCTACCCGAGAAGGTCGTGAGTCGCAATACCCCCAAATTTTCACGAGATGCGCACTGTCGAGGACTAAAGAACAAGTACTTTTCATTTACCAAGCACAGAGTGACCATGCTTAAGGAATGAAATATCAAGCGGAACTTAAGAATATCCCAACTCAATAATGCATAGTCAGACAGCTTTATCTGAGCTCTCAATAAGGTCGAAAAATCCCTCGCAGCTGAGCTTTCCCAGGTCAGACGATATCCCCGCAGGTTCAGAAACTGCAAACTTTGGGAGTATGTTGAAGCACCGATCGTCTCGTCAAGCTACAAAGAGTACCTTGAAGTTTTTGATGACTCTGACTCTGCGCCACTTGCTAACTACTTCAGATATTTAGACGAAATCCCGCCCCGTTTGAAGTTCTACCCATTTTAAAAATCTCTTTGTGTAACCTATAAAAGAGCCCCTTGAAAACACAGCAACCCAACGGAACGTCAAAAGCTGCGAGGTCTGGAAACAGAGTGAATTTTAAGCAGTTCAATAACGATTCTCAAGTTTTCCGCACATCCTGTTTTCCCTGCAAATCAATTGAGCTGCCTGGATAGACAATTGAATCAACTAGAATTCATTAGTTCAGTTTGATCAATAGATTCCTAGATAGACAAGTAAAACCGAATGGCACGCGGTCTCATCAGAAACGACCACCAGTATTTCGCCAAACCAATCGCTTCCGACGCAATCTGGCAAACCGTGTCATCCACTGGCAGGCGAGTTACCAAACTGCAGAAACCTGCAAATATGATAAGATCCACATTTCCGAACGCCCGTTATCTGATACGTCTTTCCCAAATCAGGTACAATGCAAGATAGCATTCTGTTTGCCTTGGTTGCCAAATTGGCAGTCAACCAACTGCTTTCACAGACGATTCACATGACGTTTCAATGTGAATTTCACGTCGGTATTTGGGCGAAACATGTCTTGTTGTTATGCGGACATATGTGTACAAACAAGGGAGATTACACACACGTTTCACATGACCAGATAGTAATGTGAATTAGGTTGGTTGACGCAAAGCCATTCTAGAAATTTCCCAGTGTTTTTGTTGGCGAATCGCCAAAGCATCTTGGTCCAAATCCAACAGTGAGGATTTCCCACATTGTTACAAACTGTTTCGTTGAAAAATTTACACAAACAAGATATGACTCCGCGTAGAATTTGGCATTACGCAACAAAGTTTCCGAAAACGTGGAGTGTAATAAAAGGTGAGAGAATTCGTTCCTTCATGGTTTGCTTGGCTGCCGTCAACCAAACACCCCCTTATTGTGGACAGACCAGAAACAAATACGTTTAAGACAGACATAAATCATAAATTTGAGCAACCTATGACTCACTTCGCGATCTGATCCAACAGACTGAGTTTGAATTCGCGGTGATGTCCCTCAGTCATCTGGCAGTTGTCTTTGTCTGATTTGGGTCTTGATTTCTGGACAACTAGAGGAAGGGGGCAACAGAAATTAGTACAACTACATGAAGTTCGCATGAACTTTTTCCCTATGAACCAAAAGGGCGGTTAAATCGATACACGATTCTTGTGCTGCCTGGTTTTCATACCACTATCAGGAAGATGAAACTGAGACACAGACATAAGCGGTCCGTTTGATCACATTGATAGGTTGATTGGCTTCTGATAACGCTCTCGTCTTACGCCAAATTGTTCAGTGAATAAAATTCAGCCAGAGTGAGCTTTTCTGGGTTAAATGGCCGAGCTTTCAGGGCATCTGACTGCGAGGGGGGTCTTTACTATGAGGCTGTGGGGGGTTTACACTTGCCAATTGCGAAACAAAAGTGATCGGTCCTGAGTGGAGTCTACTCCTGCCAGATCCATCTGACGAGTATCAATCAAGAGAAAATTCGCCGAGGATCACTCTTCCAGGAGAGACTGCCTCTGCCTATTACAGGATACTGTAATAGAGAGCCCTAATTCTTAGCGAAATACACTCATTTGCAAACTAATTTGGTTTTGCGAGAGACCCACCTAAAACCCAGCTGAATCTCTCGTTTGTGACGTTTCCAGGCAAATTAATGTGCTGCACCAGGCCGCCTCATGTTTCAGCTGCTGCGATATTCAACATATCGCGATACATGTGTAGTCGTAATGCACTACTCATGGGGTTGCTTAAAATTCGTCGACAGCCCACGACCGGTTTCGCCCTTCTTGAGGCTCATCAGGTAGACACAGTCCCCGAGTTTCCGTCAACTTACTTGAACTTGCCCTAGTTCTTGTTGATCTCCAAATCACGTGAGCTCTTCCGCCGACAAATAAAAATGGCTAACTTTTTCCTTTCGATTTGTTCATTTATCTCACGTGTTCTATGCAGGTGAAACCGGTTGTTCGTTAGAATTTCCATAGACTGCAGTTTTCCACATGCCGACAGCTGTTCGCTCCCAGTTGTCTGACGTAAATAGCTTGCGGTTAATTGTTAAACATTTTCAAAAGGACCCACAAAAGCACACCACGAACATCCATCACGGCTAATATCAAAGCCAACCTATTTCGGTTTAACAATTTTCTTGTATTATGAACCGCGCTGTTGTTGACAGGCCGATTTCTCCATTCTCCCGGAAGGCAAACATGTGTCCGATAGTATCACTTGAAATGTTGAAATGTCGGGAATCGCGTTTTTTGTTTATTGGTAAGCATTGTGTAAACAAATAACAATGGTTCTTTAACCCTCAGGACCACAGTGCACCGTACTGGTGACTAATCCCTCTGATGACAGATGAATCGTGGAAAACGCTATAGGTGTTCGTTGTGGATAGTGGAGACTCGTTTTGCACGGCGGTTGTATCTCAAATGCAACAAATGTTGATGATTAGCTTTGGATAGCGGGAGTACAATACGCTAAGCAGCCAAAAATACTGACAGGTCCCGGTTCGCCAAGACTACAGCCTAACTGATATGCAGTCTGCTTGTTAGGACAGTTGCGACGAGGCCATCACTCAGCGGAATTCAAACTCAAGCAAGTGAAAATGGAACAAAAAAGGAAACGAATGACTGAAAACTGTCTGGAAGACCTCGGCAAGGTCGCTTGCACGGGGCTAGGTTCAGTATACCCTGAAAGTATTTCTATCCCCTTTTTACTTTCCTCGGAAAGTTTCTTTGAAATTTAATGGGAATGGAACTGATACGTACTCATCGGTACTCAAAGTTATTTCAGATTTACCGGGCGCAGCTATTCATTGCTGAAGTAGAGGAACAAATTGATACTTCGAGACAAAATCCTTTTGGAGAGTGATAGATGCTCAGGAGAGTCTGTATGCAAAGGTTACTACTATCTCCACGATTCCGTTCGGCAAACGACAATCCTCTGAACTAGAGGCCATGACCTCCAAGAAGTACAGCAAAACTCTCGAAAAGCCGAATGACAACTTTGACCAACGCGATGAGTGCAAACTGTTCGCAACCCAGTTGTTCTGTCCCAGAAACTTGAAACTTGGAGTACTATCGACGCTGATGGATAAGAAACAATACGAAGCCATAGTTTCTTCTTTCCAACTTCCCGGTTTTTTCTCTAATTGTCTAGGAGGACGGTGGTCGTGAGATGAAAAGTTGTCATATCATGAACTTTAAAGGAAGTCAACTCCTTATCTGATAGTAAAGACTGCAAGTCGAACGCTACCAATAACGGTAATAAATCACTGACGATTACTGGTTTAGTAACCGGTCAGTCGGACTATGGATCGATTATGTACCCTTGGGCTTTCACACCAAACGGAGGAAGATCCAGCCGAAGTCCCACCAGAAAGACAGGAAGAAATCCTAACACTCAGTTTTTCTGTAGCTGCTCCCGTCTTGCGCCACTATGTGAATTCTCCTGAAGCACGAATTTGGAACGGAAAACAACGCTTGTCACTGATAACTGTTCAGCTGTGGTACCCTTTTGGGGCCAAGCTGCCATGGAAGGAGGCACGAGGACTGGGATACTGCCAGGTTACCCAAGACCAGACAGGAGCAGTCGAGAGGCTGAGGTTGGCACCTTAACCACTGAGCTGTCTCGAACCCTCACCAATGAGTGCCCGCCTACGCACCATTTTGTCAAGATACGTCGCAGTCAGACAGATCAAGACCAAACGTTCGAGTACGAGTAACTTGTTTTTCAGGTCAAGATCGATTTTAGGTGTTCTTCTTTTCTGTCATTGTACGAACAAAGAGCAGTTGTAAAGAGTTCCTGGGCAGACTATCAAATTCGCGGTGTAAGATACCATGAGCATGATCAGGATACTGGTTAAATCAGAGGGGGTTTGGGACAGCGATTGTGGCTGTTCGTCTCTGCTGAATATTGGTTTTCCATCACGACATCGCCTGTCCCGATATCAAGTTGGATGTGACTGTAGACATCGATGAGGAAAATGAAGACCCAAGAGAGAGAAGAGTGGATGGGCAAGGGACGTAGCCCTAGAATGCCAATAAAGTCAACTGGTAGACAACTAAGTGAGAAACGATAAAATCGCTGTAAATTGCTAGCGATGATTTCGACAGAGCGAAGGTGTGCCCTTGGTTTTAGTTACACGAATATCTGAAATATCGCATCATTGTTTTTAACACAAAGACTTTGAAAACTGGCCAGAATCCGACGGCAGTCTGCTGCGATCCAGCGTCGTTTTGAATTCATCAGTTATACGCGATTGTTGATTTTCCTAACTGGTAGCAGACTGGGATGGTGTAGTCATCCTGAACAGTGCTCCATAGAGTTTTGAAGTGAACGCTCTAAAGTCGAGCCAAGCTGTGTGGATAGAATCTCGCGTCAATCCATCCTCTTTAAATATACTACACTTAGAAGCAGTCACTCCTGACCAGGAGCTCGTACGCTATCTTAAGTTGATATGAAAACGGTTTTTTTAAACTTCGTTTGGATAACTTTCACTAAACATCATCGATGGCACTGAGGGACACCAGTTCAGACTGATCACTGTAGCAAAAATTGCATGACTCGACATGAATTTGCTGGCAGTGTGTGAAGACGCTCCTTGAAGGCTTGCGACAAAAGCCTGTGTCGTCTAAACAACACCATTCTGGATCGAACAGTTTGGGGCGAATTATGACGGCCTGGTCTGCAGTAGGTCGGACAAGTGCATCGAAATCAATAAGGTAGGCTAAAGTTCTGTAAAGAGCTGTGGATTTAACCACAAAACAAGATGAAGTTTTTAGTACTTGCTCTTACTGGACAGACACGTTAGATGATCCGATGAGGGGAGATCGAAAAGTTTTGACGAGGATCCGGCTTTGGGTTTTCTGCACAGCATGTTGGTCAGTGAATACGGAGACAACAGTAGTCCGTCAGACCGTGGAGAATCCAGAATATCGGACATGGTGGCTGCCTTCTGAGCGGCGGATGCGCGTAGCAATCTTGTGGGTGAAGCAAGCCTTGATGTTCTCGGTTGGAGTAGATTCCGTAACTGAAATGTGTGCACGAAGGGAGCTACGAGAATTCTTGGGTAAAAATTTGGGGGAATGATAGTGATGAGTTGAACAAAAACTCAGTGAATTTTTTGCTCAATAAGCGAGTGCACACAACTGGGAGTGCAGATATACAGCATTTATTCCATAGAATGCCCTTTATCGTCCTAGGCACTTAAGGTCAAGTAGATGGTAGCAAGGAAGTGAGAACTAACCTTGGCTAGTAGGATCAAAAGCCAACGGGAATATACTTTGGTGTGTCAATTTCTTTCACGTTGTAAAACACCCACCTGATCAGGCAGGATCGATCGAAGGTGAATCGCATCTCCTGGGTTCGAATCCCGGTGCGACTTACTCGCTTTAGTAACGATCACGCAGATTGATCACACCAGAAGAAAACGAGGACTGATCAGAAGAGAGTGGTATGAATAGGAGCCCACTGGTTTGCCCGAAAAAGCGGGTTTTTTCGGTAAAGGGCATTACCCTGCCA